AACACACTGGTTTCCCTGGAGTTGGGTTTTCGCCTGCATTTGTTTTCAAAATGCTGCTCTCGCTGAGGCGCCAGCCTCATTTTCGGGCCCCGCTCTTTCCGAATCGTGCTCCCGCTGCAGCGCTGGTCTCATTTCTGTGCTTCCGCTCGTTCCGAATCGTGCTCCTGCTGCAGCGCTGGCCTCATTTCCGCGCTTCCGCTCGTTTCGACTCGTGCTCCCGCTGCAGCGCTGGCCTCATTTCCTGTGCCATGCCACGGCATGCAATGCAATGCTAGGTTGATACTACGCTTTGCGGTGCTCTTCTCCGCCATGCCATACAATGCATCGCGTACCCTTTCGGGATCCTTGCCCTGCTCGACATCCGACTGTGCGAGTAGAGAGGGGATCTGCGCCATGGTAAGGGATGGGAGGGAGGGGTAGGATGTCAGATATGACGCGAGCGCACCTAGCTTGCCCCCAGCTGCCCCAGCTGCCCCAACTGCCCCAGCTGCCCCAGCTCCCCTCACCCCCACCCCCCCTCCTCCTCCTCCTCCTCCTCCTCCTCCTCCTCCTCCTCCTCCTCCTCCTCCTCCTGCTCCTCCTCCTCCTCCTCCTCCTCCTCCTCCCTCCTCCTCCTCCTCCTCCTCCTCCTCCTCCTCCTCCTCCTCCTCCCAGGCTCCGCGCCACGCCCGCCTCGACAACTCCCGCCCATGGCGCGGGGCAGGGCGCCCCTTGGCGGCCCGGGGCCCGACGTGGAGGCGACGCGACGCCCGAGGCTGTCGGGGCTGGCAGCTGAGCGGGGCGGTCGCCCATCCGGCGGCGGCGCCCCTCCATGTCCTCGCTGCGGGAGCTGGAATGATGCAGGATATCCCGAAAGCGCAGTCTACTTTCAAGTCCCTATTGGTTCACGGAGTTCTGTAATTCACAATGCTTATCGCACTTCGCTGCGCCCTTCATCGTTGTTCGAACCGAGACATCCGTCGCTGAAAGTTGTATGTAAATGTGACGTGATCTCCTCCTCGCACCCGTCGCGTGACCCTCTCGAATTCCTGGAGTGCCAAGCGGAGGCGCCGCCGAGCTCTCACTCCAACGAGCCGCGCTTGGTCGCAGATGTCCCGCGCCAGCTGGGGGCGCCCCGCCGGGCCCGCGCCCGCCCCTACGAGGGCGTCGCAAGGCGCTGCTCGCGCGACGCAGTTGACGACGCGCGACGCGCGCCACTTGCGACATTCGAAATTCTCTGTCGGGGCCTCGCGGGCCCAAGTCGCTAATGCCGCGATTGCCAGCGCCTAGCTCAGGCGCTTTGGCGGACGCGCTACTCGGCAGGCTGCTGGCTCGCCCGCGCAGCGGGATCAACGCCAGGGGCAGCCGCGGCGAATGGCGCTTCTGGCGGCGCCTCCCCACTTTTGCTGCTAGCACTCGCGCCCGCAGGTGCAGGGGCGCAGGTGCCATCCCCGTCTCCCGTTGCTGCGCGGCCTGCGAGTTGCAGGTGAACGGCGTTGCCGCCTGGGCGCCAGGCGACCTCGCACGCCTTGCATTCCTTGCCGATTGGTGTCCAGCGCTGGCGCTCCTGCGCGTTGCGCCGCCACGGCGAGCTCGATCTGCAGCTGGGCCTTAAGCTTCCGGGAAGCCTCGCGCACGCTGTCGGTGACGTCCAAGCCCTTCCTGTCGAACATGTCGCCGCCGAAAAGATCGGGCGGGCGCCTCCCCCTTACAAAGCTTGGACAGTGCGATCCCCGCGACTGGGGCTGGCTGCTTCTCAGTTTCTGCCGCTGCCGACTTTGGCTCCTCGTGCTGGAGGCCCGCCGTCGCCCGCGTGGACTCGATAGCCTCGTCCAAGGCCGTCTTGGCCGCCTCGACCTCAGCGGCCGTGTTGTCTCAGATCTCGCGCGCCTCGGCCAGCCAGTTCTCGGCCTCGGTAACTCTCTCCACCGCCAGACCCAAAACCGACTCAGCACGTCGCAAGCGGACCCCTGCAGCAGATACCTCCTCCTCGAGAGGCTGGGCACGCGGCGGTGTGGAGGTCGCTAGGACGCGCGCTGGTCGGGCCAGACCCTGGTCGCGAACTGAGCCAGCCTTGAAATCACGTCGTTCGCGCGCCGCACGACCGGGCCGCCGGGGAGCGCCAAGGTGACGCTGCGGTATCGGCTGCCAGGGGGTGTCGTCACCGGGGAAAATCCTGGCGCCACGATGCAACTGCGATTTTTCCTTCATCGTCTTGCCACGGGCCCCATAGCTTGGGCCCCAGTGTGTGGTCACAGCGCCAGCAATAACCTTTGGATGAAAACGTCCACGCGTAGCTGCATGACGTGCACTTGGTGTACTCCGACTCTCGCCGCGGCGCCCGCGGCCTGGTTCCTCCTCGAAGTGCTCGGTTCCACGCAGCGCCGCCAATCGACAATCAGCCGAGCGGGGAGGAACAAGAGGCCGCTAGCGCTGGCGAGCACATTCAGACCTGAGGCGAACCAGGCCGAGAATTGAAAGCTGCCTCGGATCAGAGGTCTCCACTTCCACTCCAAATAAAACGTGCGTCTTGAGCCACAACGGCTACGGGGATGTGGGTAGGATGGGAAAAACAAAAGAAGGTGGAGGGAGGACGGCCTGGAGGACGAGGAGCGAGCCCCTTCAGCAACGTTGTTTCAACCACTCGTGCGCCATGGCATAGCATCGCACGACATCGTACGCCCTGTGCGCACATCAATCCAAGACCCCTTCCACCCACAACCAGCATACTGGCGAATGCCATAAACACCTTTGATACGTACAGGCGTTGTCACACCGGCCAGAAGCGGAGCAAAAAGGCGAGCGCATTCTCCCCCCCCCCACCCACCCCCCTTGCAGGAGCTGGGGGAACCAAAAGGTACTGTTACCGCTACTCCCCAGACCTCTCCCTGGGTGCGTTCTGACAAGGATTTCGAGGCGAATCCAGCGGTGGCGACGACGGAGGCCCAGGAGGCCCAAAACGGGGAAAACGCGGGGAGGATAGAGGTATGGATGGGAACCGTTTCCTCCTCTGAAGAGCACCGAGGGGCCCCGGCGGACGTCCGCTTCTGGCAGATGTTGTTCAGGGCGTTGAGCCCGCACGTGTCCGACCCGGGCGCCTCTCGGAGGCCCAATTCCCCGCGAAGCGCTCTCTTGCGGCCCTCGTGCCGCTGCGTCTGTCTCCCTCCATCCCCGTGCACCCCCCCCCCCCAGAAGGAGGAGGATGAGGAGGATGAGGAGGAGGAGGAGGAGGAGGAGGAGGAGGAGGTCGAGTAGGAGGAGCAAGATGAGGAGGAGGAGGAGAAGGAGGAGAAGGAGGAGGAGGAAGAGGAGGAAGACATTGACACGTAAGGGGTAGGCCGGGGGAGGAGGCGGAGGAGGAGCAGGAGGAGGAGGAGCAGGAGCAGGAGGAGAAGATGGAGGAGGAAGGAGGAAGGAGGAAGGAGGAGGAGGAGGAGGAGGAGGAGGAGGATGAAGAGGAGGAAGAGGTGGGGGAAAAGTAGGACAATCTCCCTCCCCTCTTCTCCCATGCCCGTCCCTCCCCATCGCGCTCCCTTACTGCGAGACGGTCGCTCTTACTGCCAGCCCTCTGGCCATGCAGACCCGCAGGCACGGAGCAGGCCGTCGAGAGCCTGAAGCCATCCCCGACCCGCCAGGACGCTCCGAGAGCGCCCGATGGGCCCTTGTGCGAGGAGTCAGAGCCGTGGCTGCTGACCCTGTTCGGAGTTTTGGAAGACCCTGGCCCCCTGGAGATCTCTCGAGACTCCTGGGAACCCCAGGTCGCCCAACTTCCTGCTTCGCGCTGCGCGAAGCGCGCTCGTATCTCTGCGCTGTCGCACCGCCCCGCGAAAGAAAGACCGTCCTGAGGGGCAACGATATGGGGCACTGGCTCAGGGGGGGGGGGAGGGGAGAACATCGACCTGGAATCGGCGAGACGTCGCCGATGCATTAGGCGATGGGCCCCCGATAGCGAATCCGCAAGGTCCTGGACGGGGTGGGCTATCGGGCCCCTGACGGCGACCAATGGGCGATTGGGGGTCGATGCGTCCCCCCCTATGCAGCCTGCCCCCCCTAACAGTGCCCCTTGGTTCTCGGGTCGTGATTCGGCTCCCCGGCGGCCGTTTGGGACGATCGATGCACCCCGGGACGCCGCTCGGCGAGGCGCAGCCGTTGGAAGGCGTCCCGAGGCCGGCAGACCGCGCCGAGAAGCAACGAACACGCCCGCACCTCCCCCCGATGCCCCCCCCGAGCCCACACATCCCCCCGAACTTTGCCCCCGATGCCCCCCAGCCAATGGGCTAGCGAACGCGAGCGCCGCGGTCCTGTTCACGCCCCTCGGGTCGGGCGAAAGGGTGGGATAGCAAAGGGGGGGGTTGAGAATCAGCTCACGTAGCTGATTTTCCGAACGCCTCCCGGCGCCGGAGGCGGCCATGCATCGAGGAATGGGCCCCTCGGTGAGGCCGAAACCAGCTGCATGCAACAAATTTTCCAATCCCCCAGCGGGGGTGCCAGGGACGTAATGAAACAAGAAGAGGCGCCATGAGATCTGAGGAAATATCGTGGCCCACGCCATGATGTCCACCCCACCCCAGTCATCACCCCCCTCTTTGCCGCCCCCGGCGGGTGGCCCGAGCGAGCTGCGCCCCGGGGCGGGCCCGCCTCTCGGCGCCCCCCGCCGCGCCCCCGCGCAGGCCGTGGGAGCGCCCCGTGGGAGGCGTGCTCGGCAGGGCGCCACCCGACGTCGCGCAGCCCGCCCCGCGAGGCGTGGGGGGCCCATGGGCCTCCTCCTCCTCCTCCTCCTCCTCCTCCTCCTCTTCCTCCTCCTCCTCCTCTCTCCTCCTCCTCCTCCTCCTCCTCCTCCTCCTCCTCCTCCTCCTCCTCTCCTCTCCTCCCCTCCTCTTCCTCCTCCTCCCCTCCTCCCCTCCTCCTCCTCCTCCTCCTCCTCCTCCTCCTCCACCTCCTCCTGCTCCCTCCTGCCCTCCTCCTCCTCCTCCTCTCCTCCCCTCCTCCTCCTCCTCCTCCTCCTCCCCCCTCCTCCCCCCCCTCTCCCTCCTCCTCCTCCTCCTCCTCCTCCTCCTCCTCCTCCTCCTCCTCCTCCTCCTCCTCCTCCTCCTCCTCCTCCTCCTCCTCCTCCTCCTCCTCCTCCTCCTCCCCTCCTCCCCCTCCTCCCCCTCCTCCCCCTCCTCCTCCTCCCTCCTCCTGCTCCTCCTCCTCCTCCTCCCCTCCTCCACCCCTCCTCCCCTCCTCCTCCTCCTCCTCCTCGCTCCCCCTCCTCCTCCTCCTCCTGCTCCTCCCTGCCTCCCTCCTCCTCCTCCTCCTCCTCCTCCTCCTCCTCCTCCTCCTCCTCCTCCGGGGCTCATTGCAGGGAACAAAGTTGCTCGGAAGGTTTTCTCGAAGATGGCTGTTCGGCTGCATCTACCTGTTCGTAAATGGATGAGAAATCTCGGGCACGAATTAGCTGCTGGTCGGGTTGTTCGCACGCAGGAGAAGAAAAGGCGACATGCTCTCAAACGTCGTCGTGACAAGTTCGTTGCTCTGAAACATGCAACTGGCAATCGTGCAACCCGACTTTGGAGGACTGGAGCTCTCCCAGCAGCTGGGCACGGTGGCTCCGTGTCGGGCATCTCAGACACTGCGCTGAAGTATTTGAGGCAGCTTGCGGCTACGATCGCAGGTGCCAAGCAGCACGGTGGCATCACCTCGTATCTGCTGACGCAGGCCGATCCGCTATACGACCCGATCTACGACTCCACTACTTGTGTGTGTGTCAAGTTCGCCACGTTCGTCTGGGACGGAAGGGTTCAGTTGTCGAGACTTCAACGTGCGTGGACCGGTTTGAGAGACATCATGTCCGACAACCCTACTTGGCAGCAGGCTCGTGGTCCGCTGTCGGCGGTGTGGCTCAGCCTGCTTCGCATAGGCTGGACGATGGTCAATGCCCACACTTTTCGCAGCGATCTTGGTACAGATATTTCGCTGCTGGTGGTGTGTCCCAGTGATGTGCGCATTGCGATTATTGAAGGGGTGCAGCGGTGGCAGATACGTCGGTTGCAGCAGCACCTCTATAACACTGACCCTCCAGAAGGGGAGCCTTGGTTTCGTGCACTACGTAATGGCATTCGTGCTGTAAAAGACCAGCGGGCTCTTGGGGCCCTGGCTGCCGTCTGGGGGAATGTGGTTCCGCTACCTGCTGCACTATCTGCTATGCAATATGACGTACCACCCCAGTGCCTCGCCTGCTCCGATCCTCAAAGTACGTATGCACATGTGTGGTATGCCTGCTCTAAGTTCATCACCGACGACGGGGTTGACGCTCTGGGTGACGAGGTTCCTGAGGCCCTGGCTAAGCATAGGCGCGTGTTGATCCAGTCTCGGGCCTCTATAACTGGGGAGCCCGATGTGCACTCTAATTATTTAACTTATGGCATTCCTCCTTTGCCTACCAATATTCCCGCTCCGCTTGCCAACCCGCCTGTTTTTGAGTTTGGGGACGTCTCTGGGTCCTGGGGCCCTCAGTCTTTCACTGATGGTAGTTGCTATCACTCTGGGGTCCCAGAGGTCTCCAGAGCTGGTTGGAGCGTTGTGCAGTTATTTGATTGTCTGCTTCCCCTGAGGGCTGTATATGGAGCGCTCCCAGGTGAGCGTCAGACCATAGGTCGTGCAGAACGTTGGGCTGTGCGGCAGGGTCTGGCATTTCATCCGCAGCATCAGAGTATTGTATCGGACCTCCAGGCTGTTGTGCGAGAAGGCAATTCTTGGAGCCTGCTTCTTTCCCAAGGCATGTCCAAGCACGCCTCGATCTGGAGGTCCATATTTGACCTTAAGTCTAATCACCCCCAGTTCTCTTGGTTCCCAGCCCATCTGAGTTTTGATGACGTGTTGGAGCGTGGGCTGTGTGTCAAAAGTTGGGCTGGGAATCTTTGGGCTGACTTTTTCGCCAAACTAGGGGCTAGCTCTCACACGCTGGCTGAAGGTTTTTGCGCGGCTGTGGCAGGGGAATTAAAATATCATAAATCCACTGTGCGGTTCATTGCATGGGCTGCTCAACGCATGCTCGAGTCTGGCACATGGACGCAAGTTGACCCTGATCGTCCTCTCCGCCTCTTGAGAGCCCCTGCCCCTCCTAAGGTCACGGTCACTAGCCATGTGTTATTTCGCTGTGAGGCCACCAGCACCTATAAATGCAGGAGCTGTGGCCGCGTCGCTCGCACATTGGAGTCGCTTAAGAGCCTGCTCACAAGTAGGGACTATCGTGACTGTTTACCATCTCCGATCCAGCGACACGTGTGCGACCAGTGGTTTCGTGAGTTTGGGGCTGCTTTTAGGCCCGTGCAGCTGGAAGCGGTGAGGGTTGCTCTGGCTGCTGCTGACGAAGCTCAGCGCGGGTGCATTGATGAGGTCCAAGGTCCCCCGACTCCTGTGGCTGAGCCCGAGCCGTCGGACGAGTGTTCTGCTTTTCGGGACCTTGGGCACGACGCTTTTCGTCACCTGCATGTGTACTGTTGCAAGCTGTGCGGGGCTCATGGCTCTCTTGGCTCGCTG